TCATGGTGGAAGAAACATCAGCCAAACGTTCTACTGACCAAATCTGCTCCTCTTAGCAGTAAGTCTGGACTCTCTGGTCTAGAAGACCAGCAGGTTGAACCCAGGAAGGGTCCTGAAGACGTTTGGTTGTGAGTCGGATCAACACTGTTGGCCTGAAGGTGGTGCTGATGGTTGAACTGGGAGCTGTGGTTCCTCTGTCAGCTGTTGGAGGTCCTGCATGTGGGTAACCTTGACCTCCTCTGTCCTCAGGTCCTTTCCACTTTAGGACAGGCAATGTGTCGGCCCGCTATGAGACGGACATCACTCCAGCAGGCTGGACCTTCTCCATCTGGGGGGTGATCTACACCTGGCTCACCCTCATGGTCATTTACATCACCTCCTTTGCTTTCAGAGGGTAGGAGAACAGAGGAGATGATGATGATGATGATGATGATGATGATGATGATGATGATGAGGTGATGATGATGATGAGGTGATGATGATGGTCTTTCTCTGAACAGGTCTTGGGCTCAGTGTCTCCTTCCCTGCGCCTTCTACTTCTCCTGGCTGTCCAACATGCTGCTGAACATGACGTGGCTCCTGCTGTGGGACAGAGAGTAGGTCTTCCTCTCCTGGAGCTCCGCCTTCTGCTCCCTCTGCTCCTTCTGGTCCTTCTGCTCCTTCTGGTCCTTCTGCTCCTTCTGGTCCTTCTGGTCCTTCTGGTCCTTCTGGTCCTTCTGCTCCTTCTGCTCCTTCTGCTCCTTCTGGATAATCTTGGATGATAATATCAGATTTGACTGCAGAGGATGTTTCCGCTGATGGAACGCCGCCGTCCTGCTAGCTGAACATCTGTGCTGTTGTTCCAGGATGATGCTGGCGGCGCTGGTGGTCCTGATCCTGATTGCCGTCACCAACTTCAGCTGCTTGTTCTTCGCCTGCTTTGCCACAGACTACTACGGTCTGTGGCTGCGGTCCTACCACAGGAAGGACCTGGCCTGCCTGCGCGTTCTGGTAGGTCCCGCCCACACGCTGCCGTTGGGTCGGCCGAGTGCGGCCCGCCTCTGACCGTTCTTCTCTGCGTTCAGGTGCAGAACGGCCTGGCCGTCTACTCCACATGGAGCTCCATCGCCGCTCTGCTCAACCTGGCCGTGGTTCTGCAGGTGTGGGGCGTGGACCGCAGCACGGCGGCCACCGCCGCGCTGGTCATCCTGCTGGCAGAGCTGCTGGGATGGTGAGTTGATCTCGGCTGCTCCGTCGCTCCGTCTTCGTCTCTCTGATGGTTGTCTCTCTGTGTTCAGGTTTATTCTGGAGAACTGGGTTCTGGACCGCTGGGTCCGGAACATCCTGACGGTCTATCCGGTGATCATCGTGGCTCTGGTTGGAATCATCTACCAACACTTTGACCCAGACACCCCCACCCCAAACTCTGTGTTCACCGGTGAGTTCCAGAAAGCACTCTCATGGTGACGAGGATCTTTCAGATGTTTGGCGTTCTTCAGATTTTCCAAATCCATCAGATTCTGTTGGATTAATAATCCTGTGTGGAGAATCAGGAATAATCTGCTGTGACTCTTTGTTTCCAGAACTAATATCAGGATTTATAAAGTCTTTCCAAAGGCAGGTAATCCACTCCTCTGCTGATTCCTGCAGTTATTCTCTAAAGAAGATGAATAACTTCCAGTTGATCTTAAAATATCAACTGGAAAATGAGATCATAGGGAAGTTTAGCCTAGATCTAAGATTATCAGATTGGGTCTAATCTCCTCAGCACAGAGAAACATCTGATCAACCTTCATCCTGCTGTGGAGGAAACTAACTTTTACTTAGTTACTCTACTTAAGTACTTTTTTAAGTAACTTTACTCAAGTAATTTCTGAGTGAGGTACTTATAACTCTCCCTCTGTTTCCAGGAAGCTGTTAGTTTCTTCTTCCTTTGGTTCAGCTCATCTTTTAGCAGCCCGATGGACTCAATCTAGACGCCACTGATCTACAGAGTTAATGACATTCCACAGATGAAACTATATTATTAGTATTAGTCTATAATCTATTACTGTTCAGTAGGATGAGTCTTAGATCATAGCTGTAGTTTCTTAGATTCAACCTTAAACCTCTAATCTATAGTGAAAATTCTATAGTGAAAATCTGAGGAGAATCCAGACTCTCCTGTTTTCTTTGTTTTTAAAATAATAATCACAATAACCACCTTTATTTTTTGTTGCCTTTTTCTGCTGCAGTTCTTTCCAGGTGGTGTAGAATCTATATCAGGCGGTTCTACGTATCAATACATCAGGAGGTTTCTGAAAGTTCCAGCTTCTTTAAAATTACTCTGAAAATTAGGCAAAAATGTTCTGAGATTAGAAAATTACATTTTTACTTTTGAATACTTGAGTATTTTCTAAAGAGAGTATTTCAGTACTTTAACATGAGTCAATATTTCACTCAGTAACTTATACTTGTAGTTGAGTATCGATACTTTTACTGAATAACTCCTGCTGAGTACTTCCATCCTAATCTGAGCAGATTAGATGATCTCCAGAGGAATTGAATTACTCTTAAAATACTTAGAATACTTAGATAATATGAAGTTAGAATAAGACAATGCAATAGTTTTTTCTTATATTAAATGTTAATTATCTTGTTCTATTGGTAAAGTGTCTTACTTTCCTCCTCAATCATAGAAAAACTGACTTAGATTGATATTTTGTGCAGTGAATTCTCACACAGACAGAAATGTGAGGCGGCAGCATCAGCTGCAGAAACGGATCAGAGTCGTTGCGTCATGGCGGTAAAAACGGCTCTGCTTCCTCCAGCAGCTGGTTGAAACGCGTCACATGATGTTTCTGCTGATGTCAGCAGAACGTCTGTTCCTGTAGTCAGAACAGCTGATGGGAGCTGAACTGGTCCTGCTGGTTCCCAGTAAACATGCAGGATTCCCAGTAATCATTGCTGGAACCAGTTAATGACGCTGTGTCTCTGTCCTCGGCGG